AAAAAAAAAAAAAAAAAAAAAAGAAGAAGAAGAGCAACAGCACAACGATGGTTCGAACGAACCAGTGAAATCAGTGAGTAAATCGAAGATCGCGAACCATCGATTTTTTGTAAAAAGCAGAGATACGAGAAACGGGAGACGTTTCTTTGCCTCTGGAACGAACGATCGTTCAGAGAAGAACGCTTCAACGAAAGATTGCTTCGAAAAGGAAGCGATTGCTTTTCCCACGGTCAAGTCGAGCGGTTAAGGAGCCAGAGTAATCTCGAAACCGGGCTAGTCGAGGACATATCATAACATGTTCATTCGACTATTTCCTTCTACACCGTTCTCCTCCCCATTTAAAATACGACCTGCGTCGTTGAAATGTCATTGATACTTTGCGACGAATTTACTTTGCGAGTGTGACACGTACGTGAACTAAAGATTTGCGGGAAAAGTGGACTACACAATATAATAAGTTTCATAATGAAATATTATTTGCAAATAGTTCATTTGATTTGAACAGAAGGTAAAGGTTGCTTCTCTTGAAAATGAATATTTCTAAAATAAAAATAATAATTCAAATTACTGTTATTTTTTTATCTTTATTAAAATTTGCCCAACCCTGCCATGGGTGGTGGTGTTCATAAATGATTGTGAAATGAATTCCAGGATGGAAGAGAAGACATAAACGAGGATGCACGACGGCAACATTCGAATAAATACATTATAACATAGATTATTTAAAGGACAATAACCTTGATATAATCTTGATAAAAATTCAAATAAATTTTCGCATCATCCGCGCCTGTTAATCTTAAATTTTCTGCCCGCCCCGATTAATCTCTAGTTTCCAGTGGTTCTGTCTCAATTTACGGACAGAAATAATGCATCTGAGAAGCAAGACTCACGAATTTTTCATTGCACAGAGGCCAGGCTGCGTCCACGGCGAGGATCTGCCGTATTTTTTCGGCGCACCGTTGGTAGGTGGCCTGTCTCATTGGCCGAAGAACTACACGAGGGCAGAGGTCGCCCTCTCCGAAAGCGTGATACTCTATCTGACGAATTTCGCACGCACCGGGTAAGTCGTGAAACAAATGATCTCGCGTGACACGGTTAAGCGTATCTCGGTTATGCTCGAAACGACGAAATTAACGATCGATCTGTGTGCACGCTGACAGAAATCCGAACGAGGGGATGCCAGACGTAGGACCGTTGAGACCCGAGAGAACAAAGTTCAAGAACATTGATTGGATCGCTTACGAATCGGTGCACAAGAAATACCTGAGCATAGGTGAGGCTGAAATTGAGTTTCGACCCCCCGCCCTGAACTTTTCGATTGATTGTCAGTCACCAGGCATTTCGAAGGTGGAAAGGTTTTCCCGTTTGTTGATTTTAATTAGAAAAAGTTTCGTTCAAGTTGTTCCATTTCGTTGGAATATTGGTAAGAGAGTGTACATGTAACTCTGAGCTTTAATTTTATTTAACAATGAACCATCGAAACCGCTGCATTTCCTATTTCATTTTAAATTATGCGTGTAATAATTAATATTTATGTAATCTTCTGTTATTTTATCGCTTCGTATCTAATACTACAATTATTCCTCTTCATTCCAATTCGGTATGATTTTAATTTAATTATCCAGTTGAAGGTCAAATAACAAGTCTAATGAATAAAGAAACGAACAAACACTGACGAACGAGTAAATTTACGAGCGCAAGTTGTTTCATCGCGTTCAATCGTCGTCAGGAATGCAAGTTATGGCGGCAAGATGACCGGCAACCGAAAGAAAATCAACGTTGCATCACCCGCTCGATGTCTCGGAAAGTGTTCGATTCCCATGGATTCTAATTCCCCTTGTAATCTCGGCTCGCTAGAGTTTCCAATTAGCCTGAGTTTTCAGAATTCCGCGTCAGCACGAACCTCGAGACGAAGCTCAGAGACATTAACCGTTCGGAGGCGAAGTAAACGTTTCTCGTTAAGGAG